ATCTCCCACAAGAGTCTTACCCATTCTTGTTTAGCACATCCATAGCAGCAGCAAAGGCACCTACTCCAGGGAAAATGAGGCGTTTTGCTTTCAAGATGTCCTCTGGTGTTTGTACCTGAAAAGGACGCAGAAACTAAGCTCAAAAAATACAAGAGAATAAAGCACAGGAATCTTCCTACAGTCCTATACTTTTCAAAATCAATCTCCAATCTTTCTTTCAATTGCAAATCATAAAAGCATTGCCATGTCTTTCCTCAGTTTTCTAAAATACACAAGGCATTTTTTTTATAAATAAATAAATAAAAGAGTTGAATAAAGTTGAAAAGAAAACCTACATCTTTGATACCAAAGCCAAGAAATCGAATTGCATTCCTGACACTTCGAACATTTCCGGCACCGTAGTCAAGCAGAGTTACCACTGCAATAATTGAAATGAAAATTTTAGTTAATATTGTATTTATAAAGGAGCTCAATAACCATTTCTGATAGGAAGAGAATAATTTTCCAGTTTTCACATAGATACATAGACATCTTAATGCCAATCTGTATAAGTGTTTGAGCTTAGATACCCGAATCACCGTCACTAGAAGCAGAAGCACGAATTGAAGAGCTTGCGTGAGCTTTGAATTTGAGTGCGTTAGTATTTAGCTTACAGCGCAGCAGCCTTGGAGAATAAGAACCGTAGCACGAAGACGATGAAGCAGAATTTCCAACGGCTAGAAACTGTGAAGCTGAAGTAAACGTCGCCGCTTCCATGTCGCCACCGCAGTTTCAGTCCAGGGCCACCCTGTCACCCTCATCGGTGGTTTAAACACAGAGCTGCAGATGTAGAAAGGGCCGTCTCAACTTCGGGCCGCTGATAGTGATGCTTATGATTACTTCGTAATCTTTGAAGCGCAAATGCGACCCATTAGGCCATTAAAATGTTAGCCCAAACTAGGGTGGGCTGCAAATTATGTCCTCATTGTGCGTCCTAAGAGTTTGTGTATTATGTTAAAAACTTATAGGGAAAAGGTTAAATATGCCCTCGAACTTTAGCTTAAAAGTCAATTAGGCCCTTAAATTTTTTAAAGGCGCAATTACACCCATCAACAATTCATTTAGGTGCAATGAAGTCCAAAAACAAATTAATGACCTGCTATCACAGGTCATTAGGCTTCAGGCCACCTTCCGACGAATTTTCCGGCAAAAAAAAAAAGTGACCGGCGAAATTTTCGGCAAAAGAAGTGACGGGCGAAATTTTCGGCAAATCTGGGTCGGTTGTTGGTCACCATTTTTTTGCCGGAAAATTCGCTGGAAGGTGGCCTGAACCCTAATGACCTGTAATAGCAGGCCATTAACTTGTTTTTGGGCTTTATTGCACCTAAATGAATTGTTGATGGGTGTAATTGCACCTTTAAAAAGTTTAGGGGCCTAATTGACTTTTAAGCTAAAGTTCGAGGGCCTATTTGACCCTTTGTGTATTATGTTAAGAATTTATGTGTATTATGTTAAGAATTTATGTGTATTGCATTAAGAGTTTATGTGTATTATGTTAAGAGTTTATATATATTATGTATTATGTTAAGATTATGTACATTATGTTAAGAATTTATGTATTATATTATATAATTATGTACATATGAAATAGGAGATGTTTAGGACGCATAATGCATTGTGCGCCCTGGTGCACGATATAACAATTAGGGTGGGCATTTCACAATCGTTATATCGTACACCAGGGCGCACAATCTCTAAAAATTGTTTGTTTCATATGTACAGAATTGTATATTAAAATACACTTAAACTCTTAACATAATACATAATACACATAAACTCTTAACATAATACACATAAACTCTTAACATAATACACATGAACTCTGATTTTCAAACAAAAAACACATGAACTCTTAACATAATACATATGAAGAAAAAAAAACTGTAACGGGATTGGACAGACGAAATGGTGTCCGTCGCGTCAACTCCCCCAACTTATAAACACGATGTCCTTTTGAAGCAGGGCGTATAATGCATTGTGCGCCCTAGTGCACTTGTGCGTCCTGGTGCACAATACAATTTGCCGACATTTCAGATTTCCGTTCATTGAAACATATAAAGGAGATGTCATTAAACCATAACAAAGTCAAATATGCAAGAAGAGAATATCCTTTCACATCACTCAAAGCTCAAAATTCGTGCTAAGGCATGAGCTACATGGTTTGTTGATCGTTGGACATGACAAAAAATAATATTCCTAAAACAAATAACTGAGACTTTATATATTGATTAATAACTGGATCCAAATAAGAAAAGTCACTAGTTTTACAGTTGAAACCCAAGAAAAGTGCAAGTTATCGAATTCGAATATGACATTGCTAGCATCCCTATTCCCTACCTTTCACCCAAGATAGTGCTTTCCTACTAGGGGTAGCACCCGAACCAATGTCTAAGCAATGGGTGATAGCAAGTTGTGGGCTACGACAAGGGTTTCATCACTCGTTTAAGGTATCTTGATTCGTCGATTGGTTGTGGAGGCTGGCCAGCAATGGTGTCTAAGCGACAAAAGCTACCGCCGATGGTGTTAAGTTTCAAGTTAGGCTTTTGAGTTCACAGTGTTATGCAAATTGGGGCGACGAGTGAAACCTTACAACCCTTTCGATTATGAGTAAATTTCGTGTTGTGACCTTAGTTACCAAAGAACTATAATGAAAAAATCAGCTTAAGTTAAGCATAATTGATCGGCTCAAATCAAGAGGCAATGGTTTAAACTCGTGGCCTTGTCATTACAAGCATAAATCTCTTGTCATTTTGATTGTGATTACCTTGATAATACGCAATATAATATAGAATTTCATAACACAAACACAAAAACTCACAATATAAAACACATACATATGCACCAGGGTCCACAATGCATTGAACCCTAATCCATAGTATAAGGATTGTACTCTGCATGATACCGTGTTTGGTTCAAGAAAGAACGAAAATACAATCATATACAGATTATTTCAAGAATTTAAAAATAATGTCAAAAATATTTTTTTGAATACTACCAACTCTCTATTACAATGCAGTATTTGTTTATAACTACTTTTTCAATCTAATGAAGTACAAAGAGTCAATATCGCATCTACTGAGCATCGATCCCACACAATTAGATTGAAACGCAATTTCATACAAATTTTGCTCATTTTTGTCGAACTTTTTAAAAATGAGTATCTATTATTGTGCATTCTGTCCAAATCTGCCTATTAGGCTATTACAGTTAATTTCCCTAACATCAAATTGTCCTTACATTTTGGGAGCAACTCCCAACCAAATTAGCCCACAATTGGCTTGATAATCACGAAATGTCATTCTTAGTTTAAATCGATCATCTATGAACAACCTAGACTGATCAACTATGAACAACTAAGGTCACAAGATGGACTTCAATCAAAATACACCTCAGGTAGCAGGGCTTTTCCATTAAAAAAAAAGTTGTCCTTACATTTTCGAAAAAAGAAAACATGTCAAGCACCTTGTGTTCAGATGGCATGTAGTGACCTCTCCCATGTTGACTCTTTGGGCATGTTTGAACAGATACTACAGCATAGTATTCAAAAAAGAAAAGAACACAAAAACTGAACGGACTTCACTAACACAAGCCTAATACAGGGAGAAAATTTGTTTGCAGTCCAATAGCTGGCTACTAATTACCTTCAAAGCATGAAGTCTGAAGCTTTTTCTTCCTCAAATTTCATCAAAATCATTTTGTTCATGGGTCAGCAATCTCCTCAATTTGTTCATCCTCTGAAGCCTTTCTTGCATAGTTGCATACAGCAATGGAAGAAAACTGAGAAGGGAGATTCTCTAGGCCTTTGCTTTCTCCTGTAAACACACAAAATATGCCCTAAAGATTCTATGGAACTTATATTGTTGCATAGAGCCAATAAAACCCTCCTCCCTCACTAATTTTGTGAATGTACATCGCATTGAAAGGAAAAATGCACCATTAATCAATAATCATTGATATTATGTGCACATAATTGATTGTGTTTCCCAAACTCGAAGAAAGATGGGATAACACATGCACCCAGTATTTCATTTCATCAAGAACCTGAAATCACAACACTGCTTCTGTTTTAGTAAGATTCAAAAAAGACAAAGACAAGTATATTGCATGCATACATAGATGGAAAGATGTTTAACTGTTTAAGATCAAGGTCCAACAAGTCATGATGATTGATGATCACACCCTCATGGCCTCATCTGTTGTAGGCCAAGGCCAGTATGAACTTCATCTAACTATCAACTTGTTTCCTAGACGAAAATGCACACCTCCTTCCTACTTGCACTTTCTTCTTTCCATTTTTCAAAGTTACTAACTCAGGTTCCCATGCATCAAGATCAAGGATCTCAACTATGGCCTTCTGAAATTACTATAAGGTAAGACAAGTTTTATTTCACTGGTCCATCATTACACACTAATGTTAAAAGATAATACTTCTCAGTTGTGAAATTACTCAAATTACTCCTTTATTTGTATGCAGCAGATGTAGTTTACATCAGAACTAGGTTAGGATTTTTCTTTAAATAATTTCAGAAGACCACATATGGGAAAACCAGAATATTGAAACACGTTTATAAGGTTCTAGTTTTTGAGTCAAGAATATTACCTGTAACTCAAACTTGTCCAAAGGACATGCCTTCATCAAGCAAATGTATCAAGGAGGCCTAGCTCACTGTACATGTTGCAATATAAAGATGCTTTAAGATTAGTAAGATCAAGAATTATAGAAAGCTAGGTAATTTCCTGGAAATAGAAACACAAGACGCAAAATTGAGATAAGTAATAAGTTCACAGGAAGGAAATGATTGTCCATGTTAACCTCCCCTACCTTCGAGTTGCAATGTGAAACTTTGCAGCTGAGGAAGACAGCAATGAAAATGGAGAAATTTCTTCACATGTCAATAAAATAACACACAAATTGTTAATGTATCAAGGACAACATGCAGAAGATAATCTTGCATACCATATACAGTAGAAAGCATGGTGAAAGTACTAAATTTCACTTGATCACTAAGGAACTACAATTTTTTCTCATCATTCTACACGAGTTGCAGTTTCACAAGTAAAATAATGATACAACAATGTTCAGCATTGACCATAGATCTGCCAAACTAAAATGATCCTACAGATTTCTATTCAACAACATGAACATTCATAATGAGTAAAAGAAACATGAGCATTAGTCATTTGCCTAAAATGCACACTAACCAACCTAATTTAAAAAGCTTCCTAGTTACTGCTAAAGCTGTTGTTGTTGTTGTTGTTGTTATTGTTGGTGGCTGTGGTGGTGGTGTTATTGCTATGGTGATTACTGCTCCCAACCCTCCTATTCTTCAATTGTGACAGCTCCAACTGTGTTTTCATAAAGAACTGCATTCTCTGCAACTCCAGCTCCTTTGCAAACTTCATTCTCTGCTTTTCCATCTCCACCATCTGCTGCAGCTTTGCATTCTCTGCTTGCTCGTAAGCTTCTCCGAATTTCAGAATTGCTTGAGTCAACTCTCTCACTGAATTCGCCCAATTCCTATCTCTCTCGCTGCCGCTTGCGTTGGCGGCGCCACCGTCTCTTCCTCTAGGCATTGCGTGTCTAACTACACTGGAATTCATCAGCTCCCTCTGCTGAATCCTTGGCCGCTTTTTCTCATAAGTGGGAGGTGGAGAGCTATCAGTTGAATCAGGGGAAGGCTCCGGCTCTGACTCAGACGTGTCTGAATCGATAGGAGGCCTTCTCCGAAATGCCTGTTTATGCTTCTGCTGCATCTGCAATGGCGGCTGGTGTTGCCGGAGCTGAGGAGCCGATCTAGCTCCCATAGGTATACCCATAGGAACCTTCTGGTTACTCGCGGAAGGTCCAGCAAAGCCACCGCTGCCGCTGGTATTGTTGCCCTTAGCTGTTGGGCCAATCAAGTGTTCCAGCTTCTCGAAGAATGTCCACCTGCTGGGCCCTTGGCCAGCCGCGATCTTCGCCTTCTCAAGCTTGTACTTCTTCTTCACGGTGTCGATCCTATTCTTACACTGAATATCAGTTTTTGGGGGTTTGGAATAATCTTCACGGCTGCTAACAATGTCTGCAACATCTTTCCAGTGCTGCTGTTTCAAATTTCCCCTACTCAGCTCCAGGTACCTTTCACCCCAGGCTTCAATTAGCACCGCCGTAGCACCTTCGCTCCAGCAATCCTCTCTGCCGCCGCCTCCTCCTCCGCCGCCGCCGCCGCCTCCTCCGGAGGTCTTCGACTGCTGTTGTATGGGTAAAGCCAAGGTCAAGGTATTTGTGTTCTGAGGTGGAGGAGCGGCGGCGACCGTCACCGTTATCCTCCCGTTGGATCGAGGAGAACCAGGAGATCCTGTCCCTTCCGAAGCCTGCGACTGCACCTCTTCGTCGTCTTCCATCATCAAAGCCGTATCTATATCCGCCGGAGATAAAGATTATCGCCGATCTGATGGTTGGTTGTAGAGAGAGAAAGTAAGAGAGGAGAGATAAAGAGAGAGAAGGGTATGGGCGTAGCCTGAGACGGGCCTGGGATAAACTAGGGTTTAGTTTGCTCGCCGGAAATTAGTGATCCATCAACGCTGGGAGCCAAAAACCGGCTTAAATTATTAATTATTTATATTACACATTTTGAAATGGATAAAATGAAAGTTTGAATTCGAACAAACTTAAATTAATGGTCTCTTGATTTGAATATTTAATAATTAAATTTAAATATCACAACAAATGAGAAATGAAAAATTGAAAACAAAATATGAAACTCGAGAAATGATAAAATTTAAAAATGTAAGACACTGAATATGAAAAAGAATGTATAAATAAAAAAAAGGTATATTTATAAATATTTTTCTTTAGAGAAAATTACAGTTTTAGTTTTTTTTTTTTTTTTGAAATAGAGTTATATTCATATTGTAAATTTAGTTCATGAATTATTACCACACACAAATTTTTTCTTTAATTATGTATAAAGTGATAATTTTTGTTCACTGCTAACAAATTATGTTAATATTAATAATGTATTTTAAATTTTTAAATTATTGAGGGATACTTTAGTCATTTTTTATTTATATCAATTTATATTAAATAATTAATTAATTGTTGAGTTTGACAGTCGCATTCTTTTTTCTTTTTTTCTTTTTTTGTCATTGGAGTGTAACTAAAATTTCGAAATTGTTTTGGTTTTCAAATTTACTAAATATTACTAGTTGAAATAAATATTATTAACTTTGTTGTTTTTATGTTGATCAGGTGAAGTGAGTCATCAATCTATAAGCACTTTCAATTCATATGTCATTTTCTTTTTTCTTTTTTTAAGAGTGATTCTACTACAATTGCAATTTTTATTTTCCATTTGCAATAAGACATCACAAAAAATAAACATATTGGATTATTAAAAGATATTTTAAAAAATATATTATGAAATACTTTGCTCACATAAAGAAATGAGCATTCATTTTGTATAAATGCTTTACAAAAATCTATGTAAACAAATAAAAATATTACAAATAAGACATATTGATCATATTTCACTAGTATAGAAATATGAAATCAAGCATATAAATATCACCTTGATTATTTAAAAAGATAAATTAACTTTTAACCAATAAATTGACATTTAACCTTGGAACTAGATAATGTTTATAAATATTAGAAAATTCTATGAAATGACTAATATGTCTTTCAATAATTTGAGAATTTGAAGTGCAATGTTAATTTTAATAGAATTTGTTAGTATGGATTAAAATTGTCACTTTACACATAATTAAAGGAGAAAAATATATATATGGTAATAATTAATGGACTGAATTTACAATATAGGTATAATTAATCATTTTCCTTTTTCTTTAAATATGAAATTTTTTTATTATCTTTGCACCTTGAATCCTTGATACATGTTGTCAATGTATAGAACTTCATCCTCTTCCCTTAGTGCTTAGCAAACCTTGAAACTTAAGTCCACCTTTTTGAAATTAGTTGCTCCCACTGTTACTTACATTGTCATCGTAGTAATTGTCGTTCTCATTACAATTTATTTGCATTTATAGATGAAAAGAAACTTTTCTTATTTCAACGAGTTTATGACTACAAATTCAACACTAACACCCAATTCAATTACGACAATAATGTAGTTAGTGGTGGTGATAATCTCCCCGCCCCCACTTAAAATTCATCATAACATGACTTATAACAATTGGATGTCATTAATTGAAAATTCACTAACTTATTATCAAAGACTAAATCATCAAATAAAAAATGTCATACACAGAAACAACGATGGATGCAGAAAACTGTACACAGTAAATAGGTTAACATTGGAGAGCCCTAAGTTAGTTCCTAAACTGAGAAAGGTCATTCTTGAACTAAGAGGGCAAGAACGCTTTTGAGAATTGAAGTTGATGTTTTGTCAAGAAGAAGGGGGGAATCAACATTCTACCATGCCATTACAACCCTCAAACTTACTTGGATATAGGATATTTCTCTTAGTTATGGCAAAGACCCTTGGGCTATATGTGATAAATCTTACTGTTGAACCTCATGTGATAGTGATTAAGGGGTTAATTAGATACAAGAGAAGGCTATATGTGGGCTCTACCAGTAAACTAAGGGGAAAATTGCTAGAAGAACTATACAACTCTGTTATAGGGGGACATTCTAATTTCTAGATCATTGGCTACTTATAAGATAATCAAGTCCATTTTCTATTGGCCTGCTATCAAAATGATGGTTAAAAATTATGTTAAAAACTATGAATGTGCCAAAGGAACAAGGAGGAGAATGTAGCCTGCCCCGGGTTAGGAACTAGTAGTCAGGAAAGTACAGAAGACACTAATTCAGGGCTCTTCAATGTTACAAGGAAAATTACTATCATGTAAGATGCTTGTACTCCATATAAGAGAGCTGCCACCTACTGCACCTGTTATTTTCAATTTTGTTGTTATTTCAAATGTGTCTGGTCTTAATTTGTATGCATTTGTCTATACATGATGAAGACAGTTGTATTTTGAAGATTATGGATGAATGAATTTCAATTTCTCTTTTCTCACTCTACTCTCTCTCTCTCTCTTTTCACCTCCCCTACAACCTTTGCTTTCTTCTGCTACTCTTAATATTTTTCTTGCTCTAAGGCTAAACCAGTATATGATGTTTGATTCAAAGAATAAAAATAAAAGAAATAGAATAGAATTCCAACCGAAATGGAATAAGAAAGAAATATAATAGAAATATTATCTTATTGCTTGGTTCACAATGAGTCAAAAAAATGAAATTATAAGAGGAGTCATATTCTTGTATTTGGTTGGACTAGGAAATTGAAAAAGAATATTATTTAAATAACTGAAGTATCCGGGTTGGACTTCCATTTGGAAGGTTGTGAGTTCAAGCCTCAGTGGAGGCGTTATTGGTTCTTTGTGTTTCAGTAGGTTGAGAAAGTATATGAACAGATACTACAATGTAATAGGGCCAGTAACATTCAAAAAAAATAAATAAATAACTGAAGTATCCATATTCAAAATAAAAACACAAACAAATATATATATATACATTCTCACAATCTCACCCACCATAAAATAACAAAATACAGTACAAAATATAATAAAAATTATTGTATTTTTTTTTTTTAAAAGAGATCGATAACAAAATAATATATTGAGTTAATTATCGAAATGGTCCCTTGACTATAGTGAAGTTATCAATTTGATCCTTGACTATTTTTTTTGACCAATTAAGTCCCTCAACTTTAAAACTCTTAACTAATTTGGTCCTCCGTTTGTTTGACCGTTAGTCAACCGTAAACTTGGGACCAAATTGGTAATTAGTTATAGTCAAGGGACCATTTTGGTAATTAACTTTAAGGGTGGGCAATTCGGTTCAGTTTTCTTCAGCCGAACCGTACCAAACTAGTTAGATTCGGTAATATACCGAACAACCGAATGGTAATAGATTCTTGTATACCGAACGGTTCGGTAAAAACTCGAACCGAACTGAACCGAATACCGTTTGAATTTTGGATTGCTATTTTGTTATATATTAGACTTTAGATATGGACTATGTAAACATCATACACATAATATAGAACTTTTGATAACAAACCATAAAGAAATCAAAAACATCATAACACATAATATAGAACTTTTGATAACAAACCATAAAGAAATCAAATAAAACATTTACGAGAGATACCCGTGAGAATATGAGCTGAACAACTGAGCCAACAGCAAGGGACTTGGATTTACTTTTTATTTATTTATTTATTATTATTATTATTTTTTTAAAAAAAATCAAATGATATTCGGTTCAGTTCAATTTTGCACCGAACAATTCGGATCGGTTCGGATCAATTTTTTTATCGAACCGTTTGGTATACAAGAATCCAATACCGTTCGGTATATTATCGAACCAAACTAGTTCAGTTCGATTTGGTACGGTTCGATTTGAGAAAACTAAACCGAATTGCCCACCCCTAAAGTTAATTACCAAAATGGTCCCTTGACTATAGCAAAATTATCAATTTGGTCCCAAGTTAACGGTTGACTAACGGTCAAACAAACGGAGAACTAAATTGGTTAAAAATTTTAAAATTGAAGAACTTAATTGATTAAAAAAGAATAATCAAAGACCAAATTAGTAATTTCGCTATAGTCGAGTGACCATTTCGGTAATTAATTCTTAGCTTAGCGAATAGTGATAATAGGATTAATCGTAAGACTTTGAAAGAGACTTGGAAACATTTTATGTAGGGTTTAAGAGTATTTTTAAAATTAAAAAAAAAATGTTATTCCTAATGGACTACTGGACTAGAAATAGCTAATACCAAAGAAGGCTTTGTGAATGACTATTCCTATGGCAAAGGAAATAACCCATTCGGTGAGATTCTATTCTTTGATGTAAAAACCAAACCAAACCAAACCAAACCAAACAACGAAATAGATCTATTCCACAAAATGACATTCCATTCCCATGTATTCCACAAACCAAACGTCACGTTAGTGTTATTCTATCACATCAAAAGCAAGCAAATCTCTACTTCGTGTGAACCTCCCTTGGAAGAAGTTGGCATTCATTAAGAAATTTCACGGTAGACTCGAGATACTTGTTGTCCACGCTCACAGCTAATTTGGCAGTATTTAAGAGTTGGAAACACATTTCTGATATTTCATCACACACCTGTTTAGAAATCAATACAGAATTAGACATAAAGGAGGAATTGTACTCTTAATAAGAAATGTAATGCAAAAATTGTGTGCAAATATGTTTTTCATTCAGACATCTCACAAGTTCAGCACACAATCCGTAGGACTAAGAAAGGCAGCCGATGGCTTACACTGAATGTTGATGCAATACAATTGCAGGCATCAAGTGCAAGATATCCACGAGCAGCCTAGAAGAGAATATCCAAAGTAAGACATATTCATTGGTCTTTTGAAGGTGTAAGAGTAACTAAAAAACAAATTTTGCCAAGTCAAAGGGGTAAAACAAATTTTGAAACTTTTTTAGTGTGGAAAAATCTAAGGGTTAAACAAGATACCTGATTTGACTCTAGTAAAACAATATTGTTAATGCTCTGAAGAATAACAGCAGATACTTGCAGAAGTTCTTCCTTATATGTTGGATCACCATAGAATAAACAGACATTATTCATCTGCATATACAAAAGAGTCAATAGAGAAAATATATGACTTACACTTCTGAAAATGTGCCTGATATTCCCATTCGATAAACAAACATTTGAGACCAGTTGGATATCTTGGTTGAGAAAATCAATTAGCACTGATGCTTAATAGCAATAAAGGAAGCTTCCATGCTCAGGAGGCTAGCAATGAAGCTAAGTGAGAGTACAATGTCTATGATGTGTGTCTAGGGTGAGTACAAGTAGTTGCAAGTGGTAAAATTCAACATACATTTGCAGTGCGTAAGATGTAGGTGCCTAGGTGGGGCCGGGGGAGTGCAATGGAGTAGCAGGCAGATAAATAGAACATGCTGTTAAAAGGGTGGTGCAGAGCAGAATGGAGCTCTGGTCACACTGCCCATCCATAAAATGTTGTCTTGTCAGTTTCAGACAAATCACCATTTAAAAAGTTGTTCTATAAAATTTGAGCTCTTCCATAGAACAAGCATATCTGATTAAATGTTGATAATTATCAGAAGTAGACTTCACAGCATAAGACAAAAGGAGTACCTTCTTGTGGAGTTCATGGTATGGAGGTGTATTCTGGCCCAAAGCAGCAGATGACTGGATAAGTCCACATAACACTTTTATCTTCATCCCTACTGTCAGCCTACAATATCGTGATAAAGGATGAGGGAAAAGACTAAATGGAGGCGCGGGGGGGGCAATTAAAACTAGTTATGAGGACTGAAGGTTCACCCAGATTGGGAGTTGAGGAAAGATAATATATTCTTGTGGATGCTTGTGACTCCTTGATCAGGATTACCTTCAATGAGAAACTGGAACATCAGACAATGCCATTACATGCAGGGAATCAAATCACACAATGCTAATGGCAACTCACACCATCAGGATACAAGCTTCTCAGATGACATAGATAAAGAAAACATATGCAGCACATATTATGAGTCAAACATACGAAGCCTCCTTGCCAAAAGCAGTAATCATTTGCTTTATAAGAGCACTAAAATTTTTCTTTTGTTTCTTAATCCAATTGAAACAGCGCTAAGAATTTTGGAGACTACTATTATTGTAGTACTTTCATTAGGGAAGTTTCAGGCAGCAATTTTCAGAATTCTAGAATCTGAATGGAAGGGTGCACAGAATACATACAAACGGAGATGACATAAGTCTTCAAGTTTTAAAATATTTTTGTGGATATGTATGACAAATGTAGAATTATGATAACAATCACCGAGTTTAATCTAAACATGTAATTCCTGATAAGAACAAGTCTATTCCAATCATCTTTTGCATGCGCATGTGGCAATTATTCTTCTACTTGTTCTAATACATGGGTCTCAAGCCCAGGATTAAAGTGAACCTTCCCCAAGGGATGCATCTTGGCATGCTCAAGAGCTTGAGTAGTAAGGCTAAGAGTTACTTTTCTATGAGGAAAAAAAAGGAACAAATATACATACAATGAAGAAGAAATGACATATCAGACCTGGAAGCATAACAAGAAGACTGCATAATTTGCATAATAAGTTAGTAACTCTATCGCCATAACTCAGGATCTGCAACTCTACAGATACAGTTAAGAACAAAGCAATCAGAAGGTATGCAGCAGAAAGAATTCTTCAAAGACATTGCTTAGTGGCGGACAAATAAATAATACAATTGAAATGCATTATGCATACTCATGCATAGTTGTAATTTAGTTTAAGTTTTCTTTCACTATCTACCAAAGTGGAAAATGGTATAAATACTGCATTAGAAAGTATGCAACAGGCTACCCACTATAACAAATTGTTACTATGAAAATAGTTTCCTTTCTCTACCAAATCCAGAATGCATTAGGTGCTGTGAATTGTGATCTTTTATATTACTATGCAAGGACCTGATACTAGATGAGATAAACATTTTTGCTATCTTTGAGTAGCATTTGTAGCTTTTGATTGACTAAAAATTAATTGATCATGAATTCATGGTGTCAATGAGTTACTTCAGGATTTTGCGAATTGATAGATGTTCAATTACATGACCTGCCACCTGCACAAGGAGCTTTCAAGTTTAATGCATTGAAGGCCATTGGAATGCAACTCTGGTTTGTGAGAGGGTTCTTGTCATGATTTTAGCATCAGACTTGGGTAGTTATTTCAATGGAAGCACGGATCTCCTTTTCAGGCTCTGGAGTAGTCTCAAGAATACAAGGATTCTTGTCATGATTTAACATCGGAATTAGGTATTGATTTCATTGGAAACAAAGGGATCTCTTTTTGTGAATCTGGTTTAGTCTCTATGATTCTAGGATATGAAATACAAACAGGCTCATTTATTTAGAAACCTGTCATGTTACTCAAATTGACTCTAGGACACTCAAAATTTAGAGAAGGGGCAATCTAAGTTGTCTACAGAAAAAGTTATAACCACCAAACCTTCTAATTGGTCAACATTGTGCAAGCATGTAAATACTGAATCTAAGAGTCCTTCTGAGTGCAAAACTAAACCAGCCATCAGTGCAACCTGAAACAGAAGATCTTCAGGAATATACCATAAAAATTGGTTGCCTAAGAAAAAAGCAAAACTAGAAATTTTACCTCAGCAGTTTCTAGATACAGGTTTAACTGTTTCAGACATGATGAAATAGATGGTACTGTAACTTCACAATACGCTACACAAGATTTGACAAAGCTTGGATGTTTGTTGTCATTTCTCATAGATTTAATTGCTAGGTGATTGCAGGAGTGTACCAAGGTTTCCTGCAAGTGCAATAAGATATTTTAACTGTCATTAGTAAGAGTTAATTGCTTTAAACAAATAAACAGGGTGGGGTTAATTGCTTTAAACAAATAAACAGCATTCACCCTTCGCTAGATGCTTTTTTCCTTGTTTGGGTTATTGAGAATGATTCTAATTTGACAAGATTTAATTGGTTAGCAGGTAGTCTTTAATAAGCACAACCAACCAACTGTATGAAACCAAAAAATCCCAGATGCAAAAGATCATAGAGACCAAAGCATTACCACCTCATCAACAACAACGAACTTCTGAATTCCTAAGGTCATATGTTTATAAACAGTGATAACAATAAAAAAGATTATTCAAGAAAAGTTGAGCCCGTCGCATAGGGTCTTCTTAGTATGGTTTGCTGGCTATTATACAGGACGACAGGAGTGGAGTTTACCCTGTGTACACCCTCGGGTAGTGGCTACGGGTTTTACTCGTCACTCCAAAAAGAGTTTTTTTTTTTTTTTTTTTTTTTTTTTTTTTTTTTTTTTTAAGTCATAAAAAGACTATGCAAGTTCGAACACTGACCTTGACTTCATTCATGCAGCCAAAAGCTCCACGGCTCTCAAGTAGAAATTCTAAATGGTGTTCAACTTCAGGTCCATAGTCAACCTGAATAACACAATCAGGATGTGCCTTAAAACATTCATGATATGTAACTTAGATCTAAGGATTTACTATTATGGGAAAATGTACTTCAGGGAAGCAATACTTTACCATGTTTACAAAACGAGAAATTAGACAAGCTGCTTCTCGATTTTCATCATCTCTTTTACTGAGAAGATTAATTTCATCATGCAAAGCCCGAGAAACTTCAAACAGAAACTGAATGGTCGTAGGATCTCGAATAGAAGCATTTTCACTAGATAAAAGAGAACTTCGATGAATATTCATATAGTAACTGTAAACAGCTTATAACATCTCTTTTTTTGAAATCCTGATTAAAAGAAATTTAAGTATAAAATGCCCACAACCAATAGTAGACACCAAGAAAAAACAGCAGCTCTCAGAATATACCCAGTGGCTATGCTAAGGATCTTCATATTAACAGTGTTCCTTGAGCTTCCATACATCGCATCTAAGATGTCAATAAAATGATTCTGCAAAAGAGTATAATAGATTCAGTCTACTTTATAACCAACAATTCATTGTGATCGCCCACCCGCCTACCCTGGAGGATCATTCATATTATAAACTATAACAGACTTAGTTATGATTAAAAATAAATTCTCTTTAGGTTCCCTATAAGGCTATAATACCAGATGGGTGTAGCGGACAAAGAAGAAAGGGAAGGAAAAGGAAGTAAATGTGATACAGTTACACCATTACTTCAGGCAGCATACCATATTCAATATGTTATCAATGTTGCCAAAATGATTAAGAAGCTTCATAAGTATCGATTGCAAACTTGTCAATTCAATGTCCCTAATCTCTTCACTGGAAGCTCGATCAAATATGCCATCCAATATTACATTCAGATAACTGTCCTGCATAATGGAATTGGATTAGACAAAAGGAATCCGCATAGCTAATATGAAGATTTTCTCATGTCATGTAGCAAAACCCCAGCATTGCTGAAATCAAAGGTTTAAACACATTGGGCCATACAATTGCGTGGTAAGAATTCAGTTAACTTACCATCTGCTTCTGAAGTATAATTTCTGCAAAAGCATCTACAACTTTAATGTACTCATCAAGGCTATCATAACGAGAAACAACCTGAAATCGTAGTAATAAGCAAAATGTTTTGCTGATCAGTACCAATCCTTTGAGAGCTAATTTAAAAAAGCCTTAATGCCAATGTTAAAAAACTAACTGAATTTAAGTCTAACATAATATGTAAATATAAATAAATCCTTAATTGGTAATCAAAGTTGTTTTCTGAAATTTTTTAGATAGCTCCTTCCCCATAAGAGATGACAAATCAGAGAATAAAATGATGAAACGTTCTCTCCTCAAGCTGAGCATTATTCCAATCAAATTTCCTCTACATGTGCAGCAAATCTCCCACAAACAAAGAATACAGAAATACTAGCTACCATAACTAAGTACAAAGGTGCCATGAAAAATGCAATGAAAAAGGAGTATTACCTGAATAACCTTCTTTATAACAATATCAACCTCGCTAACTTGGGATGTATTTTCACACAATCGCAGTCCAAGTAACTTATAATTCAAAGACTGCAAATTAAAAATGTTTAACTGTCTAGAGCAATACTCTTAAAACCCAAGGGAAAAGCAGATTAAGTGTTAGACATGATAAATACAACCACATCAGAATTCCACATAATATACCTGATCAAAAGAGTAATCATTGCTGCACTCAATAAGATGAAGAATGTCTAGGGCATTTAAGCAAATAATTCCTACAGGGAGTTCCTTTAATAAATGATGGAGAATAATTGAGCTGCAAGAAGAATTTCCAAACAGTTTTGATTGGCTCCTTCCCAGTCCAAGCCCCACAAGTATGTCACCAACCTGCAACTGTTTCACACAAAGAGTACGTGTGTGTATATCCAAAACACAGACTGAAAGCTAGTGTAACAATCTGAAACTATAATTTCTTAAACCACTAAGAAACATGTATAAAATCAATACCAACCCCATTTTAATCAGGAAACCTGAAGTTTCCTCAAATATGTTGTGATAAATAACCATGTTTAATAAGAACATAGTTTTTCCATGTAACCTATCATCCAAAAAGAAAGGGAAAAACAGTTTCCAAGCAGCACCAAACACTAGATTAGACAAACCTAATCAGTTCAAAAAGAATTTTTTTTGAAAGAGAGATTGTATTCATAGGGAAAAACACCTGGGGTAGAAAGGATGCACAACAAGAGCCAACAGCAAATGGAACTCCAAACAAGTTTAAACCTGTCCAAAAAGTGAGGTTTAAAAGGGGTCTTTCCTTGAGTCCAAGAAAAGATCCTTGAAATTATCCACAGATGAGAGTTGACCTTCAAAACAGTGACTATTCCTTTCATTTCTTATAGGAAAAGAAGGGTGAGGTTCCATTACTTATAGTCAGTTCAAAATTATTCTGACAGCATGAAATATCCAAAATTATACTTCAGCACACACTTTTAGACAAAAAATGGTAGCATCCAAAATAATAATCCCACCAACCTATATAACAGTTGAATGAAGTTTTTTTTGTTGTAAATACAAAGCCCTTCAGATATGAATTAAGTTTCAGGCAAACAGATAACTGATGTGGTCAAACACCAGATGCAAAAGAAGGTCCAGTTGTCAAAACCAGCAAAGAAATGATTTTTTGGTTTTCCTTTTTGTGAATAAACAGAGACCAGGAAAACATACACTACCCCCTCCCCCACCTTTCTCAAAAAAGGCGAGTACAAAAGTACCTTAACTAGTTTTACTAACCGGATTACAGTCTTTGAATAAGCATTTCATGATGTACTCGACAGCTGGTTCAACTAATCCCATGAGCATCTTTTTTTCTGAAAGACTCTGATATTTGGATTTTTCCATAGATGCGATATCCATGAAAAGAGTTTTCATGTCATTAATACAATTTACCAGATACCCTGTAATGAAGGAAATTCTATAATTTAGGAAGAACAATATCATGAAAATTTACTGCCAACTAATGCACCGGATTTGAATTTTCACAGAAGCATGAATAGAAAAGGACCCAGGCTAAAACAACACCTCCCTAGATAGCCCAGTGAAAAATGTTTCAAGTTGTATAAAAGGTCTCTAAATTCATAAGATAAACAAGGGTAGAGACAGTCAGCCACCCTGAGGTCAAGGGTACAAACCGCAACATATTCCTTGACAACTTAGCAACAAAATAAGAAATGAAAATTTAAGTATATAATAGTACCTACTGAATACCTTGGTAGTTTTTCATACATTAAGCTAAATAAATATACAACAAGATACCTATAGAATGATCTGGTAGCTTTTGCGCACAGTGGACCAAATATAAGCGACAATAAAATGATGCTAAAGGATCTGAAATGCCCCTTATCATCATAACTAATCGATGAATGCAATCCATGGGTTTGTCAAGAAGGAAACGCCAGCAAGGCAACAAGGCAAGCTCCAAATAACTGCAAAAAACATTTCAGACGACAAATAGATCTCTAAATTTTGTTCAAAACATATAACTAAAAAAGACAAACCATAGTCTCAAATAAAGCTCAACTTAAAGATGATCAAAGGATGGGAAATTACAAATAAAAAATTAAGCACTCTTTGATCATGTTTCAAATGGGAAAATTCAAATATGCTGTATTGCTGTCTTTAAATTATTGCCAAAAAAGTCAAGTGCAACTTTCACATCCACAAAGATACAAGTCCCATAAAATCCCCACAAAATGGAAGAAATAATAGGCTGCAGCAACTCATTATTTATTATCTATCCCAAATGAATTGGTCCATACCATAATTTTTTCTCCTATTCTTGATTTTATATAAAGGGCTAGGTAGAATGCAAGGCAACCTAGTCCAGATTTTGCTCCACTGAATTATTTTAGATAAAATTAAACAGCCTGCTGTTGTAAACAAGTACACAGAATCAACAAAAATGATGTGATAATATAATGGGCCCAATAATTTGATTTACATGCGTGGAAGAAGCTCACGGACGGAAGCAACTTTGCAGAACCAATTATAGCAAGTCTCTTTAGCATCAGTGCAGATATCACTAGCCCGAAAATTATCTGCCAAAAATGAAATGTAGGTTTTAGGTAAAAAAGGAACTTCAGAGAATCCAGATAACAAGTCTAAAAGACTCATCAAGATTGCTAAAATACAGAAGATAAAATGGGGGATGAATATAGCATGTCATTCTGTCACCAAGCTGCCTCCTATGATAACGATCAAAATTACTTCCAAAAAGAATCAAAGATTCCTGAAGTAATGGTGTTGAGTTTATCAATAAAATAATTCGCATAAGCCCAACACTACAAAATCATTGATTTGAGTTCAAGATCCACGTTGTATTTTTTATTCAACATTTTGAATTCATTTTGCAGCAGAATATAAAATAGGATGACACTTGTACAGTAAAGCATTTCCTAAGAATTCCTAAGTGAATGAAAAATAATCAACTAAGCAAGCAATAACCAACTGAAGAAAAAGTTTAATTGTCTTAACTGTTGGAAAAACCTAGAGACATTTATGTAAGAAACTGCAGAAAAGGTCGGTAAATGAATTAGTAAGTGAGCAAAATTATTGAGTAGGAGGATGTAAAATACAAACCAGGCAAAGAGTGAATAACCTTTCCATCTTCACCATATTTGGCTTTTTGAATGATGCGTTCCCAGACTAGATGCCCAAGCATATCAATTACATCTGTAGCTAGAACAAATAGAGTTGGATAAAATTGTGTGCCAGATGTGTCCATTAGTAGCCTAGCAACCTGTTGAAGAGAAGCAATATACAAATCTAAGACTCACAAAGAGTAGAAAATGTTGGCCAGCTGCCTAAAGTCACATCAAGTTCTCTTCAATTTTAATGATCTTTGTTAGAAGAATAAGGGTGTTAGTTAGAACTCTCCTCCCTACCTAGTATTTCTCTAGTTTGAATTGTGTGGTAGTGTTTTGCATATCTCTGTATATAAATAGTCTCCTGTACAGTAGCAGTATGAGTGAATATATACACAGTACGATTATTCTTCCTTCCTACCTTCAACAATCTTAATGCTCATAATTATGCATTCATTTAAATATAGAATTATATTTGAGTAACATATTATGCAACATTGTTAGAACAGAAAGAATTCTTTATTATTCATTTATTCATATGTGAAACATGTGTACACCACCCCTATCTATACATACATAACGTATAGGCCTGCCCCATTACTCAAACCCTACTAGGGTAAGGGTTACATTCCACACTCCCCCTCAAGTTAGAGCATAGATATTGATCATGCCTAATATTTTACAAATATAATGAACTGTGTTTCTATTTAGCCTTTTATAAATATATTTGTTAATTGCTTCCTGTTTGTACGCACAATGTAAAAATTAATCCCAATGGAACCTTTTCTTATATCATTATATGAAATGATGACCAATCTCAATATATTTTGTTTGTTCATGGAAAATTGGATTGTTAGAAATACAAATTGTGAAAGTGTGAAGGGTTTCATCTATTTTCCACACATAGAACTGTACAGATTACAATAATTTATACTGGAAACTAGCTATAACCTAATGGACCCACTATAACGGGCCTAGGGTTTCAACACTCCCCCTCAAGCTGGAGAGTATAGATCATAAGCTCCAAGCTTGTTACAAATATATTCAACTCTAGGAGCTCTAAGGGATTTCGTCAAGATATCAGCTAACTGATCTGCAGAATTGACAAAGCTAGTTTTAATACACCCTGACACAATCTTCTCTCTAATGAAGTGGCAGTCAACCTCAATGTGTTTAGTTCTTTCATGATAAACAGGATTTGACGCGATGTGTAGAGCTGCTTGATTGTCACATATCAACGTCATTTGGGCAACATTGCCACATTGCAATTCTTGTAGTAGGTGTTTAAGCCACATAAGCTCACATGTGGCAAGCGCCATGGCTCGATATTCTGCTTCAGCACTGGACCTAGCGACCACATCCTGCTTCTTACTTTTCCAAGATATGAGATTACCTCCAATGAAAATACAATAACCTGAAGTAGAGCGTCTGTCAAATGGGCAACCAGCCCAATCTGCATCACAATACCCAACAACTTGTGAATGTCCTCTATCTTCATATAATAAGCCTTGTCCCGGTGCTCTCTTGATATACCTTAGAACACGAACAGCAGCATCCCAATGAGAATCACAAGGCGTCTCAAGAAACTGACTCAACACACTAACTGCGAAGGAGATATCCGGTCGTGTGATCGTGAGATAATTCAGTTTTCCAATTAATCTCCTATATCGCTCTCGGTCAGGCAATGGCTCCCCCTGTCCTGGTAGGAGTTTAACATTCGGATCCATTGGATTATCAACTGGTCTACTGTCCAACATGCCAGTTTCTTCTAAAATATCCAAGGCATACTTCCTTTGAGAAATAACAACACCACTGCTAGATTGAGCCACTTCAATTCCAAGAAAGTATTTCAGCTTACCCAAATCCTTAGTCTGGAACCGACTAAAAAGATACTCCTTCAACTGAAATATGCCTTCTTGATCACTCCCTGTAATAACAATGTCATCCACATATACTACAAGGTATATGCATTTCTCATTAGAATGACGATAGAAAACAGAATGATCAACCGCACTTCTAGTCATACCAAACTCACATACCACAGAACTAAACCTTCCAAACCAAGCTTGTGGAGATTGCTTTAAACCGTATAAAGAACGGCGAAGTTTACATACCAGACCAGACTCCCCCTGAGCAACAAACCCAGGTGGTTGCTCCATATAAACCTCCTCGTGAAGATCACCATGAAGAAAGGCATTCTTGATATCCAGCTGGTGCAAGTCCCAATGATGAATGGCTGCCAAAGACAAAAGTAACCGAACTGAAGCAATTTTAGCAACCGGGGAAAAAGTATCAGTATAATCCAAACCAAAAATCTGAGTATAGCCTTTCGCCACCAGTCGAGCCTTAAGACGATCAATTGCGCCATCAGGGCCCACCTTCACCGTATAAATCCATCTACAACCAACCACAGTTTTACCAGCAGGAAGAGGAACCAACTCCCACGTGCCACTAGACTGGAGGGCCTCCATCTCTGTTAACATGGCTTGACGCCAACCTGGATCCGAGAGAGCCTCACGAGTGGATTTGGGTATGGACACAGAAGACAGATGAGAAATAAACGCAAAGTAAGGGGAAGAGACACGGTGATAACTCAGAAAGGTATATATAGGATGGGGGTTACGAGTAGAACGTGTACCTTTTCGAACAGCAATAGGTGCCTCAGCAAGATCAGTGTCAGATTGCAGTGGAAGTGGTGGAACCGCAGCCGGAGGATCGGACAGCACTGGCAAGTCACTAGGGACCTCAGGGACTGCAGGGTGAGGACGCCGGTGATAAACCTGAAGGGGCGGGTTAAGAGCAGTCGGTTGAACTGGAGGAACAGTGGACTGGACAAGAGGAAGTGGACCAAGATAAGGTACGGGGAGCACCTCAGAAACAGGGATCGTGTCTCCTGAGTTGGGCTGGAAAAACGGTGTGGACTAAATAAAGGTGACATCTGCGGACACAAAGTGGCACTTTAGTGCTGGAGAATAACACCTATAACCCTTTTGGACACGAGAATAACCCAAAAAAACACACTTGACTGCTTTAGGATCTAATTTGGATCGACCTGGAGTCATGTCATGAACAAAACAAACACACCCAAAAACACGAGGAGGAACAGGGAAAGGATCAACAGAAGGACACACAATGGAATATGGGGTGTCATTATTGAGAGCAGAAGATGGCATGCGATTGATTAGGAAACAAGCAGTAAGGATAGCATCAGCCCAGAATTGGGAATGAACATGGGAGTGTAACAACATAGTACGGGCAATTTCTACTAGATGTCTATTCTTACGCTCAGCCACTCCATTCTGCTGAGGTGTGTAAACACATGACCTTTGATGGCAATATACCACGAGATGTCATATATGACTGAAAAGAATTAGAGAGATATTCTTTAGCATTATCACTACGCAAAACACAAATGAGTTTGCCAAATTGAGTTTGTATTTCAGCACAAAAAGTTTGAAAAATCTGAAACAATTCAGAACGATCTTTCATAAGGAAAACCCAAGTGCACCTTGAATAATCATCAATAAAGGTTACGAAATAACGAAAACCCAAAATAGAGTTGACACGACAAGGACCCCATATATCTGAATGAACTAAATCAAAGAGGGACGCAGCCCGATTATTGACTCTTCTCGAAAAAGACTGACGTGATTGCTTTCCAAGATGACACGACTCACACTCAAAAGACTCAATAGACAGACCTGGGACCATCCATTTTAGTTTAGAGAGACTAGGATGACCCAAACGACTATGAATAAGTAAAGGAGACTCTGTAGAGGCAGAAGCAGCAACATCACCACCCCGCATGTAATAGAGGCCCTGTGACTCATTGCCGGTGCCAATCACCCTCCCCGTACTGCGATCCTGCACAACAACCGAATCAGCACAAAAGGTTATGGAACAATTGAGAGTACGGGTAATTTTACTCACAGAGATAAGGTTGAAGGGACTGTTAGGGACATATAAAACAAACTCCAAAGAAAACGATGATATAGGGGAAGCCTGACCAACACCAATTGCTGGTGTTTGATGACCATTAGCTAAGGTGACCATGGGTAAAGTCTTAGACTTAGACACATTATGCAAAAGAGAAAGGTTACCGGAAATATGATCTGAAGCACCTGAGTCCAATATCCAAGAATTTGGAGTATTGGTGTGTGAAAGACAAACCAAAGATGAAGTACCAGCATTAGGTGTGGAAGATTCAAGGCGGGATGCTGCTTTAAGTTGGAGATACTCTTCATATTCCCTAGAGGTCATCTCAACTGGGGTAGAGGTTGGCTCATGAGTCTGACTCTCGGATGCAGCGGCCTGGACCAGATTAACAGAACGGGGAGGCCGACCATGTAACTTCCAACAACGATCTTTGGTATGACCATCTTTGTGGCAGTATTCACACCGAGGACGTTTGCCACGACGAACACCACCACCACTAGATGGTCCAGAAGGTCCTCTATCCACAGCCCGAGTAGCTAGAACTGATGATTCTCCAATAGGTTCAATCGAGGGAGTTGAGGCAATACGAAGCAGTCTGGCAGCGGCTTCAGTGTAGGTAGGCACACTAGGACTAGATAGAATCTGATCACGAATGTGAACCTGGTCAGGCCGAAGGGTAGCCAAGGTCATCACCATAAAGAACTTATCATACTGCTTCGCATGATTTTCTGACGTCTCCTGATATGGAAGTAAATTATGATACTCCTGTTGTAAAGCTTCCATCCGACCCAAGAAATCCTGTGTACTCATATCAGCAGTGGAACGGAAATTAAGCATATTAGACACAAGGGAATATAGCCTTTGGATATCATTAGTATACAATGACTTAGCTTTATTCCACACATCATAACAAGTTTCATAAGACTTGTAAATAAGATAAAGTTTAGGGTCAATGGATTGCCACAACATATTGCACAACAACGCATCTGACTTTTCCCAATCTGATTTCTTCGATTCTTCAATTTCCCCAACCTTTCTGGTTAGATGGTCAGACATCCCCTGGCTTTTGAACCAGAGTTTTACAGAAGCAGCCCATGAAGTATAGTTTTCACTCCCAACCAACTTGTCCATAGTAATAGTAGGATACGAGGTAAAAGACGAAGCCATACCAACAAAATCAACAAACAGTGTAGAGGTTACCAACAAAATCAACAATCTGTAGTGTTTCACTGTTTCTGGCCGGCGGTGGTCGGCGGCGGCGGTGGACGGAAAACGGCGGCAGCGGCCGGAGCACGGCGGCAGGGAAAACAGCCAACACTGCCGGAAGCGTCTCGACGAGACGAGTCCAATGGTGGTGACGGCGTCTCGATCGGAGATCGGAGGAGAGAGATATGGCTGGAAAACAGCAGCGGATCCCGGCTGACGGCGATGGCGCGTGGCGGCGCGTGCGGCGGCGGACGGCGACCGGATTCTGGGCACAGACTCGCGACGAAGCTCCGGTGAGGCCTGTGGTCTCGGTTTGGGAGAAGAACCACCAGGCAGAGGTCGGAGAGAGAAGATCAGTCGCGGCGGCAGTGAACTCCGGTGGCGGCGGCGGTGAGGCGGGGAAGAGAGGGGAAAACCTATCTAGGGTTTAGGCTCTGATACCATGTGAAAGTGTGAAGGGTTTCATCTATTTTCCACACATAGAACTGTACAGATTACAATAATTTATACTGGAAACTAGCTATAACCTAATGGACCCACTATAACGGGCCTAGGGTTTCAACACAAATAACTGCCTAATTGTTGCACCGTAGATTCAATAGTACAAATGTCTTAATGGCAACAACCTTCAACAAGTTATATATCCATACTAGTTCACAAGTTGTTTAAACCATATCATTAAATTTGGATTCTGCACTAGACCTTGCAACCACACTTCGCTTCTCCGTCTTCCACGAGACCAAGTTTCCTCTCACATCACACAATATCCTGTAGTCAAGCTCTTGTTAGTTGGTGAACCAACTTACTTAGCACCAATGAATGTTATACCTGTGTGTCCATGTTCAGCATACAAGATCCCTTTACCTAGTTCATTCTTCACAAGCTTAACAATTTAATGGACACTTCCCATGCAGCCACTATAGGAGCCTCCAGGAAAAAGCAATGTTCGAACGACTGAAAGAGTGATGGTGGGATAATTGAGCTTTTTTACTAGGTGTATGTAATGTTCTAGATTCTAAAATAACTCTCTCAATAGCTAGAAGCTATCAGTTTGACACTGATCTATAGAAGTTTCATAGGGTTTTGGGTCTAGCAATCCAGTATCATTGAGCAATTATCAAGAAATACCTCAACAGACCAATATCTTTAGTGTGAAATCTTGTTAGAAGGAATGTCTTGAGCCCTTCAATGCCTTTAGCACCACTACCACAATATTAATAGAATGCAACCGTGATTAGTGTGTTTGAAAACATAGTATGATCGCAAGTACTCTTTTGTAAACCAAATTCCACTACTACACTGCTAAACCATCCAAACCATGCTCAGAGTAACTGTTTCAAGCCATATAAAGATTTCCTTAGTTTGAATACCTTCCTCACCCCCTCCCCTGAGCAATAAACCCAGGTAGTTGTTCCATATAGACCTCTTTTGCCAAGTCACCATGAAAAAACTCATTTTTGGCATCCAAGTATCCAACTAATACAAGGCCAATGACAATAGTAGCTGAAGATATAAAAATGCAAACTTAAGCTTCACTATAGGAAAGAAGGTTTCAGTATAATCCAAGCCATACATCTAGCCATAGCCATCACTACCAAACACATCTTTAATTGAGCTACTGACCCATCTGAATTAGTCTTGACTAACTACATACATCCATTCTTACCAAGAGGAAGATCAACAAGATCCCATGTACCGTTGTTTTCTTCCATTAAAATACTTCCATTTAACATGAGATAAAGCCCAATGCAATGTTTTGGGAACAAAGATAGAGTCTAATCAGGAAATAAAAGCATGAGAAGAAGCAATTAACTAACTATATGAAACAAAAGAAGTCATGGAGAGAACAAAACAGCGTCTATCTTTATTGAGGGCAATAGGAAGTTAAATTAGAATCAGTTGACAACGGTTTTAGTAAGGGAAGTGTAACCTTTGGCGCAGCTATAAGCATTGTTGTTAAGGTGTTGCCTAGGCGTCCGGTTGGTGGAGCCCAATCGCCTAATGATCTCGCCTCGCCTTACCAAAAAAAACCTACTAATATGTAGCTGAGACCCTGAGACGCTAACTCCCCCCCTCCCAGTCCCAGCCTCGCCTTAGTGGTTGTTTACTTTGTTTCATGACAGGTTATGGCTGAGAATGAAAATAACCACAATTATGATCCATCAATGGACCTAAAAGGAAGGCTAAATCTAAAGATCCATCACCCATGCCGGAAATGCTAAATTATTGCATAATTTAGTGCTTATTGTTGAGATATGAGAATATGTTTATATGCTAAAAATGCTAAATTATGAATTGATATATATATACACACACACACACTCATCGCCTAGGCAACTAGGCGGTCGGTGGAACCTAGCCTTGACACTCCGCCTTAACAACAATGGCTATAAGTAGGTCTACCCTGTCAGCATGAGTACACTTGTACTGTTGGAGGTTTAGGAAACTCAGTTAACGGTGAAGTAGTGATAGAATATTTGAGAAATTCATCTTCAATAACATAATTGTTCAGAGAGACAGATGTGGAGTTTCTAAAGAAAGGATTGTCTTCAAAGAAAAATAACATCTTGTGTTGCATATCGACCCAAGACATGAGAATAGCATCTGTAACCCTTTTTAGTACAATGGTATCCTACAAATTCAAATATCTTAGGAGGAACAGGGAATATAGGTGTGGAGGGCCATTGAATTGAGTATGGTGTTTGTCCTTGAAGAACTAAGTCAAGAAGGAAGTTCGGTAATAAGGAAACACACATAGGCAGAGTTCAAAAATAAAAGGTTTTTTATAAAAATAGTACCTTAATTGACAACTTAAGAGATGCTACACGGTTATCTGCCTTCCAAGCATGATTAATCTCATCTTTGAGTTCATAGAGGTGAGAAACATACTCCCGGTGGCTGATAACTTTAATCCCTTCTTCAGCAAATGTGTCAGGATCTTCAAGTTCCTCTAAATGTACATTTGTTGATGGTTTCTCATTCCCTGCCACCAGTAACTCATAAATCCCATTTAAGGAGAGCAGCAAAAGATTCCCGTGATTTAATAGGAGAAAATTACTATTGAACAATAGAGGGACAAAGAAAACCCCAAAGAAATTAGAGGTAAGAAGAAGGACAACAAGTTTTATGTGGAATATATCATACCCTTGGCACTCTTCATAATTGAACCTGACATCTGTAGAAGGTATGACATAAAGTACATGAATATTCATGTTCTTAGCTGTAAGAAGATTGAAGAAGGTTTACTTACTGAAGAAATAGAAATCATTCTTGAAATGGGAAATCTTTTCATCAAGAAATTCCTGAAAGAAGTCCATTCCTTCTCTGATAAAGGAGGAGAGACTTCACTGGGGGATTTAACTCCATCTGGTAAATCCTTTGAAGAAGCATCAGCTTTCACATCATGTCTCCTTAATGGATCAAAGAAGTCATCCTTCCCATAGTCCGCAACGTCACCCTACAGAAAGAAGTTCACCAAAAGAGCCAAGAGTAAAAGGAACGTCATACATTGAACCCAAATGATCTTCCATTGGCAGGGTAAAGGCATGTACGAATCACTACAGTTCTAGTTATTTGCACCATTAGATAGTAAGAACGCTTCCACCCTGAGCTCTAATGAATCAACTTAAGATTATTGAGCAAATTGACTACATTGGGTTTGCCATTTATGCACAACAGTGTACTACTTGAAGATAATAAGATGTTGGAATGTTGGATACCTCTTACAAAATTTGATTTTATAATTCTTTGATATGCCTTTATTATAGAAACAAAATACTAAGTATAAGAAAAGAATATCCAAACCAATATAAGAAGCTTAAATAATAATAATAATAATAATAATAATAATAATAATAATAATAATAATAATAATAATAATAATAATAAACTAACCATGAAACAGCCTGATAAACAAAAGTTCTTTTGAATTCTGAATAACCAATTGGTTTAATTTTTTTTTTTTAAATTGCAATGTACTCGGTTGTTATGCTTAATAAATATACTCCAATATATACAAATAAATGTGATGCATTATTTTGATGTTAAATTATGTAATCTTTTTCTATATCCTAGTTAAGTAATTTTTTGTTTGTTAATCCTATATTTTGATATTATTTTGTCAGTTATATTTAGGTTTTTTATGCTTATAAACATTAGTACAAAATAGTAAGCATAACAAACTAAGACTGATTATTACAAATAAAAGTTAATTTGCATTTCAACTAGTAAATTTTAAATAGTCATCATTTTTTTTAAAAAAAAAAATATTTAAATTTATAAAAGTAAATTACTATTAAACAAAAAAATTAAAATGTATTATAGATTATATTAACTTTTTAAGTCTTAAAACCAAAAGGGTGGCCGAGTTGTTGAAACGTGATTTTACTACAAGAATATCACCATCCCCCAAGTCTTCCTAGTGCAATCTACTCCTTTGCAGCTTACGAGTTATTCATCAATTTTTTTTTTATTTCACGAATTTCATTAGTATGCAATTAATTCCAAATTTATCTAGCGACGTTGTTTCAAGCATGACAATTTCCTTTGCTTAATAGGAACTATTCTTCACTGCAAATGAAAATTTGATAATAATTGATAAAACATCATAACTAGGTGCTTTGAGTGCAATTAAACCCTATAGTACGTTATTAGTACGAGAAAAAAAAATTGAAAATGCGAAGAGATTGATGTGGACCTGGTGATGCGGCGGCGACGGAGTGGAAAGAGGATGAATTGCTGCAGGTACGCGAGGGAGAGCGTGCGCCTCTGCTTCGCCCCTATAGTCTCGATCGCGGAAATTCAGCTCCATGAACAATTTTGTCTCTAAATTGAATTGAATCTACCCTTAACTATTAAAGAAAACACTCAGTTGAAAATTGAATTGAATTGAATCTAATAGAAAGAACTGCGGAGCAGTTTGCTCAGTGTTTTTAGTCGAACGGTCATTTTGGTTTCACAAAGGCTTTCCGCGATTATAACGATTTTAGGTATATTTAGAAATTTGGAAAATACTCCATAGACATAGTCACACACAAATCTCCCAATCGTATCAATAAAAACAAAACAAAAGTCTAATTTGATATAAAATGCATAATTCTTTATTTTTCCATCTTCTCCATCCTCCCATTTATCGACTCTCTCATTTCTTTTTTAGTGTCTTGCTCATTTCTTTTCAAGTTATAATTTTTAAACTAAGAATTTGATTTATGAAACTAAAATTTGGTTTAATAAAGTAGTTCAATATATAAAATTGAGTTTACTCCAACTCTAATTTTAATTCTATCTCTTAATTTTATAAATATTAAAAATTCAATATAATTTATTGGGCAAGTATGTTTCATTGATTTTATTGTGTAACTCAAAGTGTATTCTTTTTTCAACATTATTGTATAGCATGATCAATATTTATTTATTTATTTGAGTTGAATTTCATTCCATTGTTAGTGTGTGTGTATAAATTTGTGTCTGCAAAGAAATGTGGTGTGATGGATTTTGATTTATTTGTATTCTATTCTATGTTAATAGATGATTATGATGAATAGCAGTATTTTGTTTGAAGATTTTAATTTTGGTTTCATTTGTATAGATGGTTAATAATTATGTTCATGCAAGTATTTTGAGTGCAACAAGTATAACACTAACCACTATGATAGTTCTTGTGCAACAACTTAGGAAGAGGAAGACCGACAATGAAATTATAAAATAAAAAAAATCACATTTTTCCATGGACGGATTCAAAAATCCTCACAATTCTTTATCATTTCACTACCAACGTTTGAATCTATGATCATTTATTTGGAATGGTAATCGGAATGTCATCACACTATATGGTAGTTAGCAACCAATGAGATATTTAAAAACAAATAAAATAAAATACTTAGAGTACGAGCCAGTGGGGGCTGTAGATTCAAACCCCTAACATTTAGAGAAAAATCATATGTTTTACCATCTAAACTAATACACATCTTTGGTTAAATTTATGTAAATTTAGTATTTATAAGTTAACTATGTGTATACAATGGGCCTATACATACAATATATATAAAGAGGATAGGCGAGGGGAGTGGCCGGGGGCAGTTGCCCCCACTGTGAAACCACCAGTGATTGTTTCCCAACAACCCTCAGTCGTTATATACGCAAATGGTCAAATTGATTGATCAAATCACCCGACCCGGATCACCAACATGCATCTAACCCGACACCGCGTGGAATTCCAACAGGCAAAACTCCAACGGGCAGAACACCAACGGGTGAAAATATTATGGCCATTCATTACATTAAAGGGAGAGAATTAAAGCTTCAACGCCTCATTCATGACTCTTCATGTTATTGTCGTTAGCCTCAGCTCCTCAATTATGACTCTTAATGTTGTTACCGTTAGGACCTAGTATAAATAGAACTCCCCTCAGCTAGCAAGGGACACGCCATACACTGTATTTTCTATACTGAGACACTAAGGCAATACAACCATTGTACTTCCCACAACAATATTAGTCTCATAATAATATTCCCGGTAATATATTTACCGTCAACATGTGAGCATGTTTTCACCTGAATCTCCCTTTATAATCTTATATACATGGAGAGCGATCAAATGAGAACATGGTCCTTTTGCAAAAAGTGAGAATTGATCTTAACTAACTCATCAAGCTAAGGTTAATCAATGGCTGAGGGTTACATTTTAGTAATAAAAAAAACACAAGTCAATTTTATCATTATTGAGAAGTTTTAATATTTATAAAAAGAACCCTACCTTTTTCACAATTGTTTTTTAGCAACCATCAGTCGTTGATCTAGATACCTAGATGGATAGACTAGATCATTCCTCATTTTTTTACATTCTTCCATGTTCTCATGTGAACCCTTCCCTATATATGGTATTGGTAATTGTGTCATTGGTTCAAAATAAAAATCTCAATAGTTTAACATTCCACTATTCATAGATTATAATCTTATATATGGTGGTTAAAAAAATATGAAATAGCGATTCTGAAAGACCCAAATACTTTACCCTATACCAAAGTTTTATAAATAAAAACAACATGCACATACTCAATAGACTTAAGGTGCATTGGCTTAGTAAAAAATGTGAGCAATACTTATAACCAACTAGTTTATCATGCTTTATGTTCGGTTTCTTCTAGTTCAACTTTTTCTTTAATTGTTGATGATATTAAATAAGTGGCATTTACTATAAATGGTGTTCACTTTTGTTTTGCTAAGCGATCTGCGAATCGTGCTGCCCATAGTGTTGCTAGAGAAGCCGTTTATATGTCAAGCTGCAGGGAGTGGTTCAATATTCCTCCCCCTTTTTCTTGCTGATTGTATTTCCTCTGATTTAATGCATTAATCTTTAATCTTCAAAAAAAAAAAAAAAATTGTGAGCAATACTAACCAAATATTCTGGGAATTGGAATGGGAGAAACATGGTGGATCAAATAAGATGTATGAAGGTGAATTTCATTGTTTGGTTGGTGGAAAAAGAATTACTGTGAATATTAATTCTATTGATTGGTTAGATTTGGAATTGTAAGGAATATTAATGAGTATAAAGACCTATATGCCCCTACAAATTAATAAAAGTAATATAATTAAAAAAGAAAACAAGGGTAAAATAGGCAATCTATTCACTTTTTCTTCCCATCTTCCATGGAAAACAAAATCCTTGGTCCAACCAAGGATTTTGTTTTCCTCAAATTTGTGGAATTCATTTTCCATTGGAAAATGAATTCCATGAACCAAACACTAGAAAACAACATTTTCCTTCACTTTAAGGAAAATGTTTCCCTTTGAAAAATATTTTCCATGAACCAAACATCAATTTATCTACACCGAAGGAGTATAGTCGATTTATAAAACTATATATATATATATATATATATATATATATATATATGATCAAATAAGAACTTGTCCAAAGTAAAAAATTAGAAACCAATTAGAATCGTCCATCTATAAAAATCTAACAACTTTAAAGGATGAGAGATTAAAAAAAATGTGATGATATTTTCGTAAATAATTTGCGCTTTAAGTACCAGTGACAACACTATGGGGGAGCGTTATGCTGTGCATCCGTATGCACCATGCATGGTGCATACGGATGCAAAAACGACGCTGTTTTGGTGTATAACTTTAAAAAAAAAAAATCAGAATTGCATAACTACACATCCATAATTTCACTACACTTCCATAATTTCATAACTATACATCCAAAATTGCATAACTACACTTTCAGTATTGCATAACTACACTTCCAGAATTGCATAACTACACTTCCAGAATTGCATAACTATAATTCCAGAATTGCATAACTACACATTCATAACTTCATAACTACACTTCCAGAATTTCATAACTAAAAAATTCAAAATGAATGAACTAAAAATGAATAACATAATGTTGTTGCTGGGAATCGAAACCGATTTTTTTTTTTTAAGTAGGGCGCGCGTTTTATGCAAAACGATGTCATTTTTGCATCCGTATGCACCATGCAGGGTGCATACGGATGCAGAGCATAATTTGCCCACTATGGGGTACTGCAGTTAAAAACACCAGAGTATAAAGTGCACTTAATGTTATCATTAATTGCACAAAATGTAAAAATTAAATGTACTTAAGGTTCACCTTTTAAATTTATGGTTTTTCTTTTCTATTTGGTTTAAAGTTTTAGTTTAAAAAAAAAACATGTTTTTTTTTAAAGGAAGGAAATGAAAAAAAAAAAAAAACATGTTTAATTTTATAATTATTACAAACTTTTAAATTTATAATATCTATAGAATTAATCTTACTTTTTTTACTCTTATCTTTCAACAACCCTCAACTATTAGAGCATCCCAAAAGGGGATTGTTGTTGAATTTTCAAATAGTATCTTTCAACAATGGCAAATTATTGGTCCACACAATGTTATGTTGATCATAACAAAAAGTACATTTTTAATATACTAAATATACATTATTTTTATACTGAATGTATATTATACATTATAGTGTACACTCAGAACAAAAATAATGTACATCCCTGAATACAATGTACATTATTGTTGTATTGAATGTACATTATTTTTGTACTGAATGTACATTATTTTACAATAGACAAAATATGGTCCACACAATAATGATTGTTCAATTATCCAAATGAATAGATCACATAAATCTTCACTTTTTTTTTTTTTTTTTTTTTTTACCTTGGAGCATGTTCTCACCTACACACACGCTTGTTCATCATGTTACCACTAACGCGTCTGTGATTTTATTAAAAAAAATTATTATTTTAAATTTGTCAATAACTTTTAATAAAGTAAAAACACCTCCGTATCCGACATAGACGAATGAGTTTTTTAATTTATTAAAATAAATTAAAAATAATTTTATTTTAATAAAATGACTGACAGGTAAGCGGTAACCCGATGAACATGTTATTTTTTATTTTTTTTTGAAAAAATGTTATTTTTATTTAATTACATAATTTTAAAATGTTTAAGAACTCAATTGTAATTTTTTTAGTTGGATGGTCTAATTACATTTTTTGTGTGTGTATAATTGGATGGCTTATTTGCGTATTAATCCCTTTTAAAATTATTTTTTTAAAAAAAAAAAAGAGTAAAGAATATGTGTGTTTGCGACGAAGACGACGATGATTCAATTAATAGTAAATAACGCCCTATGATCCACAAGAACTTTTGAAAGAAATAAATAAATAACTTGGGTACTGCAGGCTTGGGAAAGAATACAAGTTAAGCACAAACAATAGTACGTACAATGCTAGTAAAGAGAACATTTGGATATATTAAAGAGATTACATACTACCCACAAACAGGGACAGATCAGAGAGATCGAACATGAACATATTCATTACTTCTTTTAAACTCCATTAGTCATGTCACTGTCACTGTCGTGAAAAACGTGATTCTCCATTGCCATAAAAAGCCTAAGAAGTAAAGAACCCCAGGAGCCAAAGAAATTACTCCGTATATTACTAAACACAAACACCTATCATTATCAAGCCCATCCAGAATGTTGTTTTCATCGTCTCATTATTCCTGCATCCTAACCTTTGTCGTCGTCTTTGCTTTATCTTTATCCACAATTAGTTTGGCCGCTGATTGTAGCCGGGCCTTCTATAGTGAAGTCCAGAACCTAATTGGAAAGATAGGAAGGTGCAAGAAGCTAGCCAGCGGAGCTGAATTCGGGTGGAACTACACCAACCAGACAAGACAGCTCAAAGTTTTAATCGGAGCCCGCGTGGAGGCGGAGACCGGGTGGCTAGCGTGGGGGCTGAACCCCGGACCGGAGCCCCAAATGGTGGGCACCCGAGCCCTCATACTCATCAAGACCGCCAATGGCTCATTGCTGTGTGGTAAATATAATGTTACGGCCAGTGTTAAGCTGGGCTGCACCCCTCTTCTACCTTCCGACATCGACCTAAACGTGACTAGCCCCAATTGCAGTGTCCTTGGAAAGATTGGATATTACACGATCCAAGCCTCCATAAACCTTCCCATGATCTACAACGTTTCGAGGCTGAACCACGTTTGGCAAACCGGGGATGCGGCGGACGGGGCGGAGCCCAAGATGCACCACACGAGTCTCAGGAACTTCGACAGCGCCGAGGCTTTTGACTTGAACACTGGCAAGGTTGCCAGTTTTGTCATGGAGAAACGCCAACAGATGAGATTGGTACGTAAGCACCGCTGGAAATTATGGAATTTTCGACCACCAGAAAGTGATCTTAAATGTTCCGACCACTTTTTACTTTTAACTTGATTTAAGATCATTTCAGGTGGTCGGAAATTTCATAATTTCCAGCAGTGAAGCTAGCTATCTAGTTTTTGATTACTATAGCTGCAAATTCAGACATTATTGTTATATTTATGCGAATATTATTGTTTTAGGCTCATGGGATATTTAACATTGTTGGATGGGGAACATTCTTGCCGGCGGGTGTGATTGCGGCGAGGTATTTCAAATCATTTCCATTTGCCGGGAGACACTGGTTCCCCTTTCATGTGGGGTGTCAGATAATTGGATATAGTCTGGGCGTGGTGGGATGGGGCCTTGGACTCTGGCTCGGCCATGTTTCCAAGTATTACACCTTTCGAACTCACCGAATCACAGCTATCTTCATCTTCACTTTCGCCACCCTACAAGTAATTAACTATATACCCTCTCAACTCGATCATATAACTATTAAAATCATTTTTGTTATTTGAATTAATGTATGTGTGTTGGTTTAATTTGAATTGAATGATATATTTAGATGCTAGCCTTAAGACTGAAGCCAGAAAAGAGGGACGAATATCGCAAGCACTGGAACAAGTACCATCATTTTCTGGGGTACGCGTTGCTGGTGGTGATTGCTTATAATATATTCAAAGGGATAAGTGTATTAAGACAAGAAGAGAAAGCGTGGAGATCGGGTTATGCCGTAGTGATTGCGGTCTTGGTATCCATTTTTCTGGGGTGTGAAGTTTACACATGGATAAGATTCTGTTGTTTAAGGAAGAAGGGTGATAAGATTCCTAAAAATAATGAAAAAGATCAAGATGACAAAGGCCTTATTCCTACAGGGGTTGGTTCTTCTACTCACCGCCAAAACCCTCCTTCCAGTTAATTAAACCTTCACAATTTGACGTAATTTCAGAATTTTATTTTTTATATTTATTAGTTCTGGTCAATATATTTATCTCCTCATTACTTAATTAACTGATGCTTCGTTAACGAATATGAATGTGCATGCAGAATTTTGTTTACGTTTAGCATATATTATTATCCATATAAACTTATTGTTACTCTTCTTTAATTTAATTCCTGGCCTGGACGGTCATTTTTCTATTCAGTGAATTTATTTAATTTCTCGATCATTTTTTTTTTTGTTATAACTAGTAAATATAATACTCGGTGTTACTAATATAGGAGTGCAAACAAGTCAAGCTCAACATAATCCTAAATTGATTAAAGTTTGAACTCGAGCTCAATTGAATTAACACTTTATGCTCAAATTTGGATCGAGCTTGGTTCGATTAGTTCAAATTGAATTCAAGTTCAACACACACACACACATATATATAGGGAATGGTTCATGTCACTGCTGGAAAACAGCGATTTTCCGACCACTTTCTCACTATAATCACGACGGAAAGCACTGTTCCGACCACTTTGGGGATTCGGAAAATCGCTTGTCGGAAATTCCGACCATTCTATCAATTGGACGGAAGTTCCGACCACAATAATAGGTCGTCGAACATTTTTGGTCACATGCAAAAGGGGGTTGACCATGTATTTCCGACCATATTACGGTCGGAAATTTCCGACCAACCACCAAATGGTTGGAAATCACAATCCGTTGACTATAAGGAATTGCAATTTTCCGACCACCAGTGGTCGGAAACCAAATGTCAAAAATTATTTATAAAAAGAATTTCACTGTTTTTAATTTACCCTGCAATAATAATTTTATAAAAAATAAAAATACTTTTATAACAATGTAACATCACCAAAAACTAGCAATTTTATAATAATGCAACTTCACATTTCAAAAAAAGTAGCTACTTCACATTTCAAAAAGTAGTAGCTACTTTACAATCCAAAATATTTTCACCATTTACATCACAAGTACTTAGTCAAAAGATTACACTGGAGATTGAGATTACATTGGAGATTGGGTATCACCATTGACATTGATATTATCTAAACCAATACCATCACTTTGAGTGTCATGAGCTGTAGGAACAGATTGTAACAATTCCGGATGTGCACCACATAACAACTCCATAATCTTCTTGTTTTGCTCCAAAATCTCCTTGTTGCTTTGCTCCAATTGTTTAATTCTCTCCTCACAAGCTGAATGTGAGGATGGTTCTCCATATGTAGATTTTTTTCGCCTTGCCACCTCGAGGAAGTAATGTTGGGTACTTGATCCAAACCCAAAAACAGAACCTCCCTTCTTCAAGCCACCTGTTGCCTCATACCAAATAGTTGCTGGTTCAAGTTCTGGTTGACTTTGTTATTTTTCATTTACAATCTCCTATATTAATAAACAATTAAAATCAGAAATGCAATTAAGCACAAATTTAAATTTTATTGAAAAATTTCAGTAAATGCAATTAATTCCACTAGAACTGGAAGGAATTAATTCCAGTAAGGAAACTGGAATTAATTACTTCCAGTTCTAATGGAATTAATTCCAGTGAACTGGAAGTAATTAATTCTAGTTTTCTTACTGGAATTAATTCCTTTCAGTTTACTGGAATTAATTCCACTAGAACTGGAAGGAATTAATTCCAGTTTAGTTTACTGGAATTAATTCTAGTTTCATCTTTCAGTAAACTGATTCTCACATTCAACATTTTTTCTACTGGTGGGAACTAATTTCCTCTATATTCAACATTTCGATCAATCATAAATAGAAGCAAAAATTCAAGATAGCCAAACAATAGAATCAAATCATTTTCTCGTTATATAGAGAACAACATACAAGTTATCAACCTTAATATACAATACTCATAATAAGCTAAGGTTACTCAATACTTATTGTGCAAAGATTAAAACCTAACAGTGAACCACACTTCAATACTTAACTAGTAGCTTATAATGGTCAATGGTAATCAAAGTTAGATTATAGGAATAGAGATTCTCACCACGACTTGTTGGGCTTTTTTGCACACAAACTCATCGGTGTTTTTTCGTTTGTGTGTAGCTTTGAACAGGATTGCATGGGATGGCTCCTCTCCAAGCTTTTCTTTCTATCCAACATCAATAAACAAAACATTAATGTTGTTGTTAAACTTTAAATTGTATTTAGATATTAATTATTAAATGACTTACTAATCTTTGTCTGTGCTCGGTCATTGGGATTGAACCTCCAGTATGCAACGAGGGTCCCATTCCACCGCAATCTGAATTTCTATTTTTCTTGTTCTTCTCGGATAACGCTTTGAATTCGTCCGTCTCCCAAAGTCTTTGATATTGAGCCAGAACCGCAGGATTCATCCATTGCGGTGGTGATTTACCTTTTTTCAAGTTGATGCACACTTAATTAAAAACTTCAATTCCAATATAAACTTTGCTAAATTACTAAAATTAATTCCCATACAAATTGAAATTAATTAAAAATTCCAGTTTTACTTAAATTGGAAATTCAACTAAACTGGAATAAATTGTTAGTTTACTGGATTCCAGTTGGTTAGTTTACTGGAATTAATTCCAATAAACTCCAGCAAACTGCTTCGATGATGATTTACCTTCTTTCAATTTTAAGCGCACTAGTCCCAACGTGTCGCTAAGTCTTTTGGAAGCATTTCTGTCATATATTTTCCTGATAACTGCTTCATCTTCTGGATTCCATTTACAGAATTTCTTTGATAAAAAAAAATAAACAAATTAAAATTAGTAAACATAAGTAAGAACTCTTGTCCCAATTGTAGTTATAATGTAATTTACCTTGTATTCATTAAACCAAATATCCTTTACACTTTGAGGTGCACTTCTGAACGTCTTGTAAGCCTCCGGGAAGTACCGAGTAATGCTTTCTATGATTTTTCTATGCCCATCGTAAGGTTCCAACCTAAAACAAGAATGGCAAACTCAAAATATTTCATTTTTCATTGTTGTAAATCATAGTAAAAAACATATTTTACTTGATATCTAAACTATATGCACACAAAAAATTTATTTAAGACTTACGCTTCCATGCCAATAGGACGAATGAAGATCATTTTGTCGGTTGGATCTAGATTGTGCGCTGGAGGTGTTGTTGTCATATTTGGGGTAGGTGATCCTCCTTCCAAATCAGTTGAGTTTGAAGTAGGCAATGCCGACATAGTATGCTCAGAATCACTTTCATGCACCTGTCGGAGTTGTGTCGAAGGTTGGGACATCAAGCTTTGCCTCATTTGCTTTGAGTTACGTTGTGACATAACTTAGGCTTCAGATAATGCAATGAACAAGAAGAGGCCAGTTTATTGTTTAGCAAAATGCAATGAGATAAGATAAGATTGGGAGAAGGGAAAATATTAACTAAATGCAAGATATATAAGACAAATAAGCATGCTCCAACTAGAAAACACATAAATAAAAGGCCAAAAGGACAAGGACTAAACTACAGTTTTAGAAATTGGGGAGAGGACACTGGACAGATTCATTAAAAAAAATGGGCACTTTCTTTTTACTTTTTTTTTTTTTTTAAACAATGGAAACTTTAAACCTCAGTTTTTTTATGTTGCTCCATAAAACTTAAGACTGCTAATTTATACATCTAAGGTTTCTACTCATCTTGTTCTCTTCTGTTATATTTCTCTCTATTTCCTAACTTAAGTTGTTGTTGTCCCTCTATCTTATCTCAACAACGAGTTTCATAAACAACTGTAATGGTTAATATACTCAAATATCTGATCCATGGCTAGCTGCGGTATATTAAAAGTTGTCTTGATATTCATCATCCTTAATGTATATGCCAACTCTGTTTCTTCACTAACATTCATTGATAAAGGTTGCCTCGCAGCATTTAACAAATCATAGAATTTTTGTGCACTACTATGTGGCTCTTCATCTTGGTAATTCTCGGCATTTAGTGGGAAAAATGATGGACCAGATGCATCAAAAATCATTTGTTCATACTGATTGTTTTCACTAGAGCCCGCATTCATATTCGGTTGTATTGAGGGGGGAAGCTCATCGTGACATGTCCAAACCCAATAATTCGGTTCAAAACCCTTCTTATACAAATGAACACGAACATCATCTGCAGGCAAGTGTACTCTATTCCTACACTTACTACATGGACACCTAATCAACATTGAAACCTCGTAACAATGAAGTCTGCTTGCATAATTTATAAATTCCTCAACACTGGCTAAAAACTCATTAGTGTACCCCCTTCTTCCTGGTAACAATCGGTTATACATCCATTTTCGATGTTCAGGTATATTAGCCATGTAAAACAACTGCAAAAGTATATACAATACAAATACAACTCAACATATATAAATAATTTAAATTATTATATTATGAACATACTAATAAAAAATACACAACATATAAATTAAAATTCAATATTAAAAATCATAAATATACAAATAATTCTAAACACAAACATAAATAAATAAACAAATTTTACCCACACACATGTATATATATGCACACTACATAAATAAATAAATTTAAAATGTACTCACAAAAATATATACAAAAAATTAAAGCTAGATCTACAAAACAAATTGACGTAAATAGAAATTTTAAAAACATATACACATACCTTAGCTCGATTTCAACACAATAGTGGAAAAACCTCCTGCAAAAAAAAAATTAAAATAATACAAAAAGGTTCAAACTAGCTACTAGATCTATAAAAAAAAAATGATATAAATGGAAGTTCTAAGTATATATGTACATACTTTACATGATTTCTACACTATTGTGAGTGCTTTAGCAAAAAACATCCACCAAACATGAAGAAATATGTGGAAAGAGGTAAGAAAAAAAAAAAAGTGTGGAAACTGGGCAGAAAGTCTGCTGCGCAGGGATAAGTATAAAAGAATTTCCGACCACGAACAAGTGGTCGGAAAAAGTCAACTTTTAAAATAATAGCGCAGTGATGTTCCGACCACTATTGGAAAGTGGTCGGAAACTTCCGACCATTTCGAAGATGTTGTCGGAAACTTCCGACCACAAAGGTGGTCGTAATCCTTCCGGACACGGGTTGAAAAATTTGTAATAACTTATGGACCACTTTTTTGTGTGTCGAAAGTTTCCGTCCACAAGTGAGAAGTGGTCGGAAATTTCCGTCCACTTTCCGACCACTCT